TTAGTGGGCAGGCTCATCATGGGGTGATCTGCCTGCAAGGCCCTACTGTTTCTGACAAGTTTAGGGCAATGACTTGGAGACTGTTAGGTGCTGCTGGGGTTAGTAAGGGGTTGTGGAGTATGGGACAGGATGCTGTAAAAGCTGGTATGAACAATCTATTGAAAATGACGTAGTTATTCCTATCTTGGTGTCTTAATGGGAATGAGATAGATTAAGTAAATTTAGGGCTAATCAACCTTGTTTCACCAGTTTTTATACAGACACTCCTAAAGTGATTAGCATGTCTATGTGCAGAGCTCAGCAGGAATCTGACCCAAAGTTTAAAGTTACAAAGGAGACAGAAAATGAAGGCAGAGTTGCTGAGCTCTGTCCTGTTTTTAGCCACTCACTGGACATCTGCAGGCCCAAGGGAAGGAAGTGCTTTTAACAAAAGTAATCTCTGAGTTCCTGTTATAATGACAGGGCACCCCAGGAATGGAGCAGGAGGGCCCTCAAGACAGCAGTTCAGTAAAACAGGCAAATACACACCAGCCTTGCCTGTGTGTACGATGTGATGTTTGTGCTCCTTCTGAATGGGCATGAGGTAGCCTGGGTCCCACAAGTCTGGAAAGAGGAGTTTCCTTCCTGTCCCATCGTCTTCTCTGTCACCTGTGCCACACACCACATACTTTCCTATACCCCTGGCAATCTCGTTGATTTGGTGTGAAGTGGAAAAGGCAGGTCTCCAGGACAGACTGACCAAGGATGGGTTTCAGAGTTGTGCTGGAATGGCCATTTCTCCCCCAGGCTGACATAGGGGACACTTTTTACTATTCACCTGCTTCTGAAAATTGCCTGACAACCAGTCCTCATATAGGTACTGTTGCCAGAGAATCAACTGGCCCAGAAACATGTTTGCACAGAAAGCAGACTTGCACCTTCCTGGGACCAGGGCAGTTTTGGCAATGTAGGAAAAGGGCGTGGGGCTCTGCAGTTAGAGTGAGCTCAGCAAAGGGACACAGGCCACCCTGGAGTCAGAGCCCTTGCTGCTCCCTTTATTGCCTGGAGAGCAGTTTGAGAGTTTCTCTGAAAGAGTCTTAAATTCCCAGGCCTAGGTTCTCTGTATCCTCTTAGGGACAGGAATCCTTGCAGTGAATGTCATCCTCCTCATTCCCCATTCCAGTGCTCGGCCCTTGTAAACATCTACTGAAGCCACCCTTGGACAGAAGTCTAGCTCAACTATGGGAAGAACCCTGTTTCATCCATGGACCCTGGGCCCCACAATAGCCTAGGTGGCTGCCTGGGCTCTCATCCACAGTTAGGAATGACAGGGTGGGCTCCTGATGACAGGGAGGAATCCCTCTGCTCTGCTCGAGTTGTGTGAGCCTGCTCCATATCCTAGATCAGTGGCTTCTATTGCAAATCCCTCCAGGACCTGGATGTTGACCTTTCTATTTGAGTGCCCCAGGGCCTCACAGTGCTTCGCACTTGAATTTGTGACCAGGAAATGCCCATTAGGTGAGTGGTCAGCTCAGTCATCCTCAGGTGCAGACAAGGAGAGAGCACCCTGTGTGCAATTTATTTCTTCTCCCTGTCTCTTTTTTATTCTTTCTAGTCATTATTCACAAGCCCCTCTCTGTGGCTTTTCCTCATTCTATTTCCTTCTTTTATGCTTCTCACCCTAAAGGACTTAGTCTCACTTAGACAGTTGATATCACTGGGTCTTTAATGACTATAAAAATCTCTCTATGGCCATCTTCACCCACTTTCTTAACACTGCCCTGGTTTTTGAAGACCAGGCTGTATCAATGAATAATGTTGTGCAGCCCTGAGTGCTAGGCAGAGAGCTAAACGGGGCATCAGAAGAGACAGAGCCCACCCTGTGGAGTGTGGCTCTGGCCTGTGCACCCCCCATACAAGGTTTTCCTGCACTAAATAGTGCCAGTTTCCAAAATTCTCTTGTTACAGACTGAAGGGAAGGAATCAAGGAAGTAAAAATTGATGAGGAAGAGGAAAAAGGGATGTTGTGTGAAGATGGGAAGGCAATTGTGTGCATGTATCTCCATTGCTCCCCCATGGTTCTTTTTGGCACTCCAGGAAAATCAGCAGAAACAAGGAGACTTAGGACTGGCCACTGTTAAATGTGAATGTGCAAGGAGAAGCAGGAGGGTGGTAAAATTCCACACAGGCAAGTGAAGGATGTCCTGAACATATCTTCCAGGGGATAAACACTCATCCCATAGAAAGCCCTAGTACCTTGACCAAGCTCTCCAGTAGTTACTTGACTGGATAGTAGTGGGACAGCTATAGGGGTCTGTGAGACCACCATGTGATGATTTCTGAGCATGCCACTTACTGTATTCTTTATGAAGAGTATCCTTACCCTGCAGGACCCAACCCTAGCCCCCAATCCCTGAAGGTTAACAGGAAGTATTCCCAGTCAAGTGCCGAATGTGATGAAATAGCATGGAGTGGCCTTGCTCTCCCCTGCTCAGCCTCTTGGGAGGACAGGGAGGAACAGTTGTTTAAGCTCTACTTTGTGCAAGCAGTGAGCTCTCACATGGTTCAGCCTTGCGTTCCTGTGGGTTCTCAGGAAGACCTGGATTCAAGCAGGGACGTTATTGGGTCCCAGCCTGACTGGATGTTGCTTAGGCCTTGGGGGTTTCTCCAGCCTTGTCAGAGCCTTATGAGGGTTTGGGATCACATGACATCATTTCTCAAAACCTGAGGTCCATACATAAGTAAAAATTAAACCAAATATAAAAATCTGAAGGAAATTCACAGAGGAATGCTACTTAGGATATATTTAGAGAGTATGAGTACAAGTTACTTGCTATGGTTTTAATATGTTTGTCCCTCTCCTCTAAATTCATAAGTTGAGATTATAACCCCCAGGGTGATGGTATTTGAAGGTGATGATTAGGTCATGAGGATGGAGGCCTTGTAAATGTGATTCATGTCCTTATCAAAAGGCCTGAGAGAACTCCTTCTCTCCTTCCTCCCTATGGAAACAGAGTTAGGAAGATCTATCTATGAAACAGGAAGTGGACCCTCATCAAACACAGGAATTTGCTGTCAGCTTCTTGGACTCCTCATCCTCCCGAACTGTGAGAAATAAATATCTGACAAGTGTAAGTCACCCAGTCTGTGGTATTTTGTTATAGCAATCTGTTCATTTCTATATTCCACATATGAGACAAAGCATGAGATCCTTGTCTTTCTGTGTCAGGCTTACTTTGCTTAGCATGATGATCTCCAAGCTGGGCGCTGGTGGCTCACATCTGTAATCACTAGCTACTGGGAGGCAGAGATCAGGAGGACTGCAGTTGGAAACCAGCCTAGAGAAATACTTCATGAGACCCCTATCTTGAAAATGCCCAACACAAAAACAGAGCTAATAGAGTGGCTCAAGTGGAGAGCACCAGCCTAGCAAATGTGCACTCATGAGTTCAAACCCTAATACTGCCAAAAAAAATGATCTCCAGGTCCATCCATTTTCTAGCAAGCAATATGATTTCATTCTTGGTCGCAGCTGAATAGTACTCCATGTGTATCTATACCATGGTTTCTTTATCCATCTGTTTACAGGCACGTAGGCACCCAGATTAATTTCATAACTTGGCTACTGTGTACAGGGCCAGACCAACACTCCAATCTGAACCAACTAAGAGCTGACTCCCACTCAAGGCCCAAACCCCTGTCATGGACCCCATAACTATGTTTACCATCAGGGGGAGAGTGCTGTTTTCTTCTCACTACCAGAAACTGCTGAGCTCATAAAGTCAGTGCTATAGATCTTAAATGTCCCCCAGAGGCCCTTATATTAGAGCCTTGTGGAAGGAAGTTAGGTCACTTGAAGGGGTCATTAGGATCACAGCCCTTACCAGCTTTGTCTTCCTCTCTGCTTCCAGCTGCTATGAAGTGAACAGACCTCTTCCACCATATGCTCCTGCCATGATGTATTGTGCTAGTAAAGGCCCAAAGCAGCAAAGCCAAGCGACCACAGATTTGAAACTGTGAGGTGAAAAGTAAATCCTTCCTCCTTATAAGTTGATTATCTCAGATGTTTTGCTATAGCAATGCAAAGCTGACTAACATATCCAGATACTCTGCTGGGCACAGGAAGGAAAAACAGGCTCTACATCAGAAAAGAAGTCTGCATTAGCAGCAGAGGATTTTGAAAGTTTGCTTGTTCCCACCTGATGGCAAGAGCCTGGGCTATTTGGGTGACACCAAGATTGGAAAGAATTTGTACAGTACACTGGATCATACCTAGTGCACCATGGGCCCACAATGACCTGGGCTGCTTCCTTCTTATCAATAGTTCAGGTGGTGGGGGGCTGTGGTGCAAGGTCATTCTTATAGTCCCACTGACTAATTAGGGTACGGTGACCCAGACACAATTACAAGTACTGGGTCTGCCAAGCCTCAAGCATCACAGGCTGAAGCAAGCCCTTAGGGACTGGGGCCTGGGCTTATGGAGGCAGGGGAGTGTGGGATTGTGGGTACAGGGGGCAGCAGATTGAACTGAACCTGCAGAACAGGGCTCTGAGGAATGCATGACATTCCATATGCCAGCTCTGAGGATTGCTCAGGAGACTTCACAGCCTACTTGCAACCTCTGTGACTGGTGAGCCTGGAAGACACATCTTCATGTTCCAGGAACATGACCATACAGTGTAGCCCTGACCCTAGAGGTGCAACTTGTCTTTTGGAAGACACCCTTGTGGAATCCAGCTGCCTGAGAGCAACTCAGCTCCTTCATGGGCAGCCCAGCTCCCTAGCTGCTGCCTTAGCTCTCCCTGTCCAGACATACTGAGGAGTTTAAAATCTAACAGTGCATGAGGGATAATGCTGATGGGTCAGAAATGGAGCCAGAACCTTCCTCCATTGTTTTTATTTTGTCAGGCCTGGGCACAGGTGGCCTCAGATGGATAGATGAGCCAGAGACCGAAGCTTGGGAGGACATGTGCAGTGAGGTTTGCAGGAGAAGACTGGGCATCTGGGTGGCTGAGGGCCCATCACAGAATCCTGAGTAAAAGCAGCAGCAGGAGGGTTTGAGAAGACAGAAGGGCCATGCAGATGCTGGGCTTGAGGACAGAGCCCTGATTGTGTGAGCCTTTCAGAGCAGGGGGGTTTTCTTGAGGAGGGGCCAAGTTGGGATCGGGATCTGGTGAGGTGGCCTTGTTCTCCTGGATCCAGTTGAAGAAGTAGGAGACCCTGGAGAAGACGCTAGGGCTGGCAATTGGGTGTTGACACTCCACACTCCAGCTGGACAGCCCTGCCAGATACCAGGAACCATTCACTGGGCAGACAAGAGGACCCCCAGAATCTCCCTGAGGAGAGAGAGGACAAGGGTAGTGGGGCAGAGACAGGAAGAGACATGCATTGTCTGGGACAGAGAGGCCAAGGTGAGTGCCAGGGGTCTATGCTGCCTAAGCATAGAACCATCTAGGCAATTTTATTTTGGAAATGATTTTTATAAATTATTATTTTAATTGTACATATTTATGAGCTACAGTGTGATAATTTGATACATTATATATAATGTGTAATTATTCGATCAGAATAGTTAGCATTTCCATCTATTTAAACACTTAAAAATTTTATTAGTGCATAATTATCACACATCGTTATAAAGCACAGTGTGATAATACAATGCAATACAATATGCACTGAACAAACCCTTAATGATAAGAAGAACCCTTGTGTTTGGAGCCCTTGTGCTCTTGTCTCCCAGCTGTCCATAAAATACATAACTGGTTATTGTGAATTTTAGTTACAATAACTGTGTGGTAGAAGACTAGAACTTATTACTTCTTTTTTGTTATTAGTTCCTTCATGTATTAGAAATTTATGGTTTAAAACTTGTCAGTAAAAATTATAGGGTTTGTAACAGAAAAGTAAATAACTTTCAATGCAAATCCATAAGATATAAAACAACTACCAGAATCCAGAATCAATTAAAAAATGCATACCAGTTAAAAATATGCACAAATAGGACTATTTTCTAGCATGTGATAAATTACCTCCTGATACATTACTATTGGTACTAATATATACAAAATTATATTTCTAATTAGTAGTCAATTTTAACCACTTTCTAATGTAATTTATTACTTTACTAATTGTAATAAAATTCCATGACCATGACTTTTAACAGTACTGATAAATAAATGTAGCACTGTTGAAATAACCAACACTATAGGACATGATGTACCACATGAACACCGGTACATGTGCACTGGTACATGAAGTGTACCACTCATATTTAAAGTCTATTAGCATGTCACCTCAACTTTGCCATTGGGGCACTTTATATAACATATCTTAAAAATAGCATCCATGTAGGCAATTTTCAAAGTTCAGGCATGGTGGCACCTTCTGGATCAGTATTTCCAAGGGCAGGACCCTAGAAACCTGTCCCACAAAGCTCCTGAGGGGACCCAGGGCCAGCCCTCTGGGTGGCAGTCACAGACTTCCAAATGCCCTCTGCTTTCTACCCACATGGGAGAAGATGCTCCTAAGGTCCCACAGGGCAGCCAGCCTACAGCCCTGGCCTATGGCCTTTGGCCGAATTCTTGGCCTGGCATGGCATCCTACATATGCCTGTGTGTTTTACTAAATAAAGCCTCTAATAGTTCATCAATTCCTTAACTGAAGAAAATGCCAAACTGTTGGATGTGATGAGGGGGAAAAGAGATGCCACCTGGGCCCAGCCCAAGGAGTACCTGGAACCACAGGGCAGCTCCAGGGTTCCAGAAGAATGGTGGGGACTACAAGTATGGCAGGGCCCTGAGATGGGTGAGGCCCCAGCATCACAAGTGAAATGATCCCATTTCATAGGCTCCAGTGTTAGGGACCTAACAGGAGCCACAGGAGGAGCTGCCTACAGCATCTGATAGAAGATGTACACAAATGCCTAATGAAGTGGGCTGAGGTGAGGGTGAGAATCAAGGAAGCAAGAAAGGGACAGAGGTGCTGCAACTAGGGAGAGGGTCCCAGGGAGCAGGGAGGGTACACATAATATGTTCTTTGGCAGGATTCTAAGTAGAATATTTCTGAGCTATGGGAACATCCAAAGAAAGAGGAAGAACAAGAAAAAAAGTATAAAAGAGGAAGAGGCTGCCACAGGAGGATACCTGGTGGGGGACCACAGCTCTCAAGGTGGTCAGGGCCTATCCAAGCTTGACTATGGTCATGTTTCCTCACCTTGACGTGTCCACTTCCTCTGTGGGCTTCAGTTTCCCCATCATGAAATGGAAAGATTAGGCAGAGTAGATATTCATAATATATATATATATATCCAATTATGGACTCATATCCACAATATATAAAGAGCTCCTATGATTCAATATGTAAGTCAGACAATCCCATACTTGGCAAAAAAAAAAAAACATCTTGCATGCACACTTCACAAAAATAGACATATGAAAAAAATGTTTATCTTCATTAGTTACCAGAGAAATGCAAATTAAAAATCACATATAATGGTTAAAATGAAAATGGCATATAATCTGAAGTACTGGTGGCAATATATTATCAACCTGAACCCTCGCTCCCTGGTGGGCTGGTGGGAGCACAAATTGACGTAACCAGGTTGGAGAGCTGCTGGGACAATCATGGCATGACTATTCCACTGCCAGAGAGATCCCCAACCAAAATGTGAACCTGCATGCTGGGATGGCCATGGCAAAGACACATGTAAAACCCTCAAATGACAGCTCCCCAATGCCACCAACATAAGAATGGCTAAGTAAAACTGCAGTGCATACACACAGTAGAAGGGTTCCGTGTTGCAAACACAGTATTGACCAAAAAGAGACTAGGTGAAAGCCTGTATCCTGTATGATTTGCCTTCAGGTAAAGTGCCAGCATGAAATCATGGTGCTTTAGAAGCCAAGACAGGGCTCTGGGGAAGTTAATGCCAGGAGGAGCCGTGCATGGGACCAACCCTTTGGGTGCTGGTGACATGAGTGTATTGGTTTCTAAGAATTCTTCATGCATGCTGCGCTTGGTGGGCTCTGAAGTGGAAGACGGAGCTAGGCAGGGTACAGAGAAGACAGAGGAGGGACAGCACAGCAGGAGAGTCTGAGTGGGGGCACTTACTCGACAGATGGACTTTTCTGTTTCAACAGTGCCGGCGCACACCATGTCATCCTTCACAGCATACTGCCCACTCACACCAGGTTCTGGAGGCTGGAAAAAGGCTGAACAAATCTGGTTCTCTATGAGGAAGACCTCGGCCTCCTGCAGTTGAAAGGGCTGAGGCAGGAATTCTGTGGGAAGGGTTCAGGAGTGAGGTACAGCCTGCTTGCTGACAGAGGGCTCCAACCCTAGGTGCAGGGGTGGGGAGGCTGCGTGGACATGCAAAGACCAAGTGAAGTGCCTATAGTGGATACGGCCAGGTGGGAGGTGAGTGTGGCTACAAAGGTCCAAGAGTGAGGGCTCAAACAGATGAGGCACAATCACAGCAAGGCCTCCTTGCCAGGCCAGGGGCTGGGGTTTCCTTTCAAACACACTGACAGAAAGCAAAAAAGATCTACTTAGGTTTCAAATAAGTAAACCCCTGGCTGCTGTGCGGAGCCCCAGCTGAAGGCAGGGAGGGTAGAAGCTGGGATCCCCAGCCTGGCAGGGCGTAGGGTGTAGCAGTAGGGGATGACCCCGGAGCCAGTACACCTTATTGTTGTAAGACAATAAGACCAGCTCTTTCTCATGAAGTAGCTGGACCTGAAGGCTTGGATTCTTTTTCCAGAAGCCTCTCACAGATCTGGTCAGGGGCTCCATGCAGGAGAACAGTGTTGGGAGCCAGACTCACTTCTGAATGGTGCTTGGTGTGTGTGTGGCCCTTAGAGGCAGTCAAGGGCTGCCTGTGTGTAGCAAACCCCAGGCCTGGGTCCGGGTCCAGCAACTGGGCTCTGGGGAAGGGATGACAGAGGATGGCTGAAGGCCAAGTCTCTCACTGAGACCAGCTGCTCTGTGCCTGAGTGGCTGCTCCAGCCATTGACTTTCCTTCATGTGCCCCCTCCATTTCCCTCCTGCCTGCCGTGGAGATCCTCTTTGCCCTGTCATTGGTTCTTAGAGAGATGGTCCATCCCAGGAGGGTGTCTTTGGAAATGCTGACAAGCCAGCTGTTCTGATGGCTAGGCTGTGTAATTGACATTAAGAAGACAGGAGCGGGCATGGTGGCTCTGACACAAACCTCAAAGTCCTGCCTCTAAATGCCTCCTGGAGCTGCCTCCTGGAGCTGCTCTGCCAAACTGTGACTCTACAAATTATGCCAAATTTAAATTCTCCCTTTTTTTTTTCTTTCTTAACTAACCATTTTATTTTCCTATGTCAAACATACTTGCCTGGGCTAGTTGTGGTGGTTCATACCTGTAATCCGAGCTACTTGGGGGACAGAGGTTGGGGGGTGGATCATGATTGGAGGCCATCCCAGGCAAAAAAGCCAGATCCTATCCAATAGAACAAGCCAGGTGGGTGTTGAACACCTGTAATCCTGGCTATGGAGGACACACAGGTAGAAGGGTCACAGTCTGAGGCCAGCCTGGGCAAGAAGTGTGAGACCCTATCACAAAAATAAAGCAGAAATTGTGAGAGGCCTGGCTCATGTGGTAGAGTCCTTTTCTAGTAAGCATGGGGCTCTAAGTTTAAACTCCAATATTGCCAAAAAGAAAATAGAAACAAAAACGAAGAAACACCCTTGGGCAAAAATTTTTGCCCAATATAAATACAATCAATATTATGAAAAACAGAGCGTGCTAAGGGTAGGTCACTAAAGGGAGAGGAAGGGTAAAAGAAAGAAGTTAAGAAGGTTAATATGGTTGATGTAGTCTCTATACAAGAATGAATATAGAATTTTTAAACCTGTTGAAACCACCATAAGAAGGGACCTACGGTAGAAAAGAGAAAAATAGAGGAAATGAAGCAGTCTGAGTTATAATACATGTATACATGGAAATGTCACAATGATACTCTCTGTATAGCTATCTTATATGAACAAAAATGTCTTCTTTAAAAAATGGAGAACAGGAAGACAAAACAGGTCCTGTCTGGGGGTTAGTACCAGTGGAAGGGGTGAGGATATAAGGAAAGGGTGTAGGAGGGTGAATATGGTAGAAATATTATGTAGTCATGTATGAAAACAGAAAAATGAAACCTGTTGAAACTATTCCAGGAATGAGGGAGGGAGGATAAAGGAGAATGATGGAGGGGTGAATTCAACTATGATATACTGCAAGCACTTTTGTAAATGTCACAATATACACCCAGCACAATAACAAAAAAAAGATAAAAAATAAAATATATAGAGTGATCCTTTGCTATCCTCAGGTGCTTCTGGGATTTTGATCTGCAGATGCTGAAGTCCCTTACATCAAATAGCATAGTGTTTGCATAACACCTGTGCACATCCTTCTGCATACTTTAAATCATCTCTAGATGACTTAGAACACCTGATATAAGGCAAATGCTATATAAGTAGTTGTTATGTTCTATCATTTAGATATTAATGACAAGAAAAAAAGATGTTTCTCTTCCTTCCCCCATCCTAAATGGTTTTGGTCCACTGTTGGTTGAACCCATGGATTCAGAATCTGCAGGTACCCGGGATCCTGTACAAGCCAACCAACAAGTCTCACTTGCAGTAAGGAGGAGTAGTGAGGTTCACAGAGGCAAATGTTCTTCAGCCATAAACACCCCAGCTTGTCTCAGGACAGAGGGCAGGTTGTGCTCATTTCCTTACAGATAGACACCCAGTACCTTCTAGGGCAATGATGATCAAGAGGTGTTTGGTGAGGCCCTTCAGGGGCTGGACCCTCACAGAACCTTGGAGTCAGGGAGGATCAACCACGTTCAGGGCCCTGGAATCCTTTTTTTTTTTTTTTCATTTTTCTTTTATTATTCATATGTGCATACAAGGCTTGGTTCATTTCTCCCCCCTGCCCCCACCCCCTCCCTTACCACCCACTCCACCCCCTCCCGCTCCCCCCCTCAATACCCAGCAGAAACTATTTTGCCCTTAGGGCCCTGGAATCCTGAATGGCTCAAAGTCAAAGAGCCTAAATTTTGATTCAAAAAACTGCAGATTTTTTTGGAAGCATGGACTGAGGAAGTTTTAGTACTGGAAAGGCCCGTGATGGCCTCACATCCCCCCACCCTCTTTGCCTTCCCTGTGTACTCACTATCCTCAGTGATCATCCCCCAGCCACTTATCCAGCAGGGCTTTTCAAGGGTGAACTTCGTATTGTTGTCTGGGACGCAGGCCGGAAGCACATGGGAGTTAAACTCCACAGGAACATGCAATTGCAACAGGACGATGTCACTCCCCTGGCGGTGGTACTTGTCATAGTCTGGGTGGACAATGAGCTTATTCACTGTCATTATCCGGCTATAACTGGTGGGCTTACTTAGTTGGTTGTACCCTAGCAGGATCCGGTAGTCAGATGGGTTGCGAGACCTATTGGGGAGTGGCTTCTCTGAATATTGGGCCAGAGCCCTGACTGCCCACCCACCTGTCTGGTAACTAGGCCTCCTCTCCCCACTATTTCAGGGGTTCTTCTCTCCTCCCTTCCTACTATTGGAATGACCCTTCTCTCAAGGTGGTCTGGAGAGCTGCCCACAGCCTCAGGACATTTGCCCTTTGAAAGCCTCTGGTGGCTTTTCCAGCATGCCCAGAATACAAGAGGAAGAAAATCCTATTGCTAGAAAGAAACATTTGGGGATACATTAAGCTGCACCATTTATCTTGGAGGACAAGAGCCTTGCCTCATTTCCAGCCCTGACCAGACCCCTCTTATGGCCAAGGGTTGCCTTTCTCTAGGCACTCAGCAAGTATGTGTGGGGAAACAGAGGAGTCCATGGAAACTTCTTGTTTGTCCTGAGTATGAGAGACTTTCTGATCCATGTGTCTTGCTTATGTGGTTCCCCTGCCCAGACCCCCCATGCCCAAATCCTTGTCCCCCAAACCATTACCAACTCCAAGTCCCTGCTCTGGATGGACCTGCACATCTCCCTTGATATACCTGCAGAGTCTACCATGGGTGTTGGGCCTGTGCCTCACTTCCCTGGTGGGATGAGAAGCTTTCAGATTGACCTTGCATATCCCCTACATGGACCTTTTGTGAGGCCTGGTGCTGGTGGGTGTTAAATATATGCGTGGAACCCACATGGATCCTCAAAGGCAGTGTGATGTCCTCCTTACTCCCCTGGGCCCAGAGTGAGCCTAGGATATCTCTAAGGAGTCACCCAGTTTTCTGACTCTCTGTCTACTCTCCTAAAACAAAGACTGTTTGCTTCAACCTCCACTCCAGCCTGTGGGGTGGTATTGTCCACAGCTCTAAGTACATAATACTACAGAAATGACAGGAAACTCCTGTTGCAGGTTAGACACACAGAGTCCCAGGACACCTCTAAAAAGGAAAGTCCTGGAGTGTGTGGGTGGCCAGGACCCCAGGGAGCCTCCAGTAGGTATGCCCTAGATTGCCTGTGGAGATTCCTGGCTGGAGGAGGCAAGGTGACTCTCCACAATGTTCCTGACCACCACTGCCCTGATCTGGGACCTGGGACCTGGGATTGTCATTCTGACTTACCATGGAGCCTGTGTTATGTGTGTGGCCAAGAACAGGACATACTACCATTCATACAAAGAGGAAACGGACCTGCTGACATCTTCTGGAACCGACATATACCAAAGTCCCCTTGAGTGGGGTAGGATTTTAATTTCTAATGCTCTTGGAAGATAAAGAGTAGACTGCGGGGGGTAGGATTTGAGGTGTGGCTAAATTGGTACATGCCCTGCAAGCACAAAGCCCTGAGCTAAAAACCTAGTACTATCAAAAAAAAAAAAAAAAAAAAAACTAGAGGTGGAAACTTTGGAACTAAAATCTGTTTTCCAGTAGTTATTGACAATCAACTAGAATGAATGAATTTCCAGGTAGCTATTTAAAACTAATGTGCATGTCACTGTGACCACGAACACTATCTTGGGCATCCAGACTGAGAGATGAAGTGTGTAGTCTCTGGGAGATGGAACACAGATGGGCAGAAGATGGGTGTCAGATGACAAACAAGGATGGCACACCGTTAGAGATACTGCTGACTCAAGGGTATGGGGTGCCATCACTGGGACACCTGTGAACAATAATTACCCCAGAATAAAGCCTGGCAGGAAAAGCCTGGGTGCCCTCTATTCTCTAGCCCACTTTGTGCCTCTCTCCTGTAGCCCCTCCTAACAGCTGGCCCTGAAAGACGCACCTTTGGAAGCAGTGGGCCGCAGAGAGTACCCAGGCTTTGTCAATGAGGGCTGCTCCACAGATGTGACTGCCACGTAACAGCAGACTGGCCTGCCACGGCCACCGCTCAGGCTCTGCCTTCTGACCACCAAAGATCTTCCCATGGAATCGGGTCTTGCCACATACTGTGGAGACAATCCCAGCCATGAAGCACCTACGTTCAGGATGCTAGCCCTTGGTGCCGCAAATGTCAGCATCAACAGGACCCAGGGGCACCACAGCCGCTCCTCTCACTTCCCAGGTAGGACTGTCTGTCACACACACACACACACACACACACACACACACTATCCTAAGGCCGCCTCTTAGGCAGAAGTAGCCCCCTAAAGCAGAGGTCCAGGCAAGAAGGTGGATCCTGGGTTAGGGTCTTCTCAGACTTTATTTCACTTAAGTAGTATGCCTCTGTTTGAAGACCAGAACTGAAGGCTGGCCGGAGAATGTTACTGTTTTTCAGGGCTATATCTTTTGGGTGGGTGCATTCTCCCACTTAACCCAATGAAGACAGTGTGGGATCACCACCCAGACAGGCTCCTATAGGACCTTGGCCTTTGTACTGAGGAGAAGATCCAGCAAAAAACAGAGGTCACTCAGTCAAAGGGCACACCTTCCCCCAGCCACCCCACCTCCTACTACTTCACCACTGCCTCCTTCGTCTGGGGCCACCATTGCCCCTGACCACTTACCCTCTGACAAAGATGGGGTGGACTTGGTGGGCTCGAGGTGCAACCAGAGCAGGAAGGAGGCCAGGACGCAGGCCCCCCGCCCACCTCGGCCTGGTTGCTGGGCACTGGAGCCCCCCATTCGGCTGGTCAGCACCTGCCTCTGCGTAGGAGCCGGCAGCACGCGGAGCCAACCGCTGGCGGCTAGCAAACCGCCTCTGTGCGTCCAGGGGCTCCAAGTCCCTAGGCCACATCACCTGGCACTAGAACTGGAGATCCCGAGGTGGAATCCTTAGGTGTACAAGAGGCTGCCATCACAGGGAGCTGCAAGGTCAGTGGGAGGGGCCATGATGCCCTGCCCCTCCCACCAGCCTCCAAGGACGTGTTCCTCCCAAAGGCAATGGATTCACCACATTCCAAAGTTTTCGAGAGTTTCACTCCATTACAATATCCGATCAAAACGAAAATCTCATCATCCAAACCCAAATATTGCTATTTCATTAGCTCAAAGTCCACAATCTCAACATCTAACTCATCTAAGCTGTGAATGAGACTCCCCAGCAAGAATCCATAAAATACCACTCTTTAGCACACTTTTTTAGTGTAAACTAATCGTACAAGGAATTTCATTGTGACATTTCCACACATGCATATAATGTACTTTGGTTAACCTCTTCCTACTTCTCCATCCCCTTTGGCAAGGGTTTCACTGTTATTTTCAGATAGATAGATAGATAGATAGATAGATAGATAGATAGATAGATAGATGGCTATAGATCTATATATAGATATTACTTCTGTCATATTCACCTGTATCACTCTCTCTTTTCTAATCCCCCTCCTGTTAGGTCCCCCACCAAACAGTCCCTCTTTCACAATCATGTCACTTTGTTGCTATTGTTTAGGTCTAGATTCCACATATGAGAGAAGACATGTGATAGATGTCTTTTGAGCTTGGCTTACCCTGCTCAATGTGATCCCCAGTTCTATCAATTTTCTTGCAAATGACATAATTTCATTCTTTTTTATGGGTGAATAATACCCCATTGTGAATATAAACCACATATTTTTTAACCATTCATCTGTTGGTGGGCACCTAGGATAATTCCTTAGCTTAGTTATTGTGACTAGTGCTGTAATAAACATGGGAGTACAACTATCTCCACTATATTCTGACTTACATTCCTTCAGATATATGCCTAGGAGTGATATATCAGAATCATACTCTATTTTAATTTTTTTCCAGGAACCTCCGCACTGATTTTCATAATGGCTACACTAATTTACAACCCCACCTAAGTAGGTTCCTTCCCCCACAGGCTCACCAGCATTTGCTACTGTTTGTTTTTTGGATGATCGCCATTCTGACTGGGATGAGATGGATTCTCAGTGTTGTTTTAGTTTGCATTTCCTTTATGGCTAAGCATGATGAATATTTCTTCATGTTTTTATTAGCCATTTGCACTTCCTTTGAGAACTGTCTATTCAATTCATTTTATTAATTAATTGGATTATTCTTTGGGCGTTTAATTTCTGGAGCTATATATTTATTCTGGATATTAGTGCTTTTGATGAATAGCCTGAAAAGATTTTCTCACATTCTATCTTTTGTTTGGAATTGTTTCCTTTACTGTTCAGAAGCATTTTAATTTGATGTAATCCCATTTATTAATTCTTGCTCTTACTTCTTAAGCAATTGGAGTCCCATTCCAAAAGTCATTGCCTATTGTAGGTCCCTGTATTCTCCTCTACTGCTTTCAAAGTTTCAGGTCTTAAATTACATTAAGATCTTTGATTCATTTTGACTTTTGTATAGGGTTACAGATAGGGGTCTTCTACAAATAGGCATCAAGTTTGTCCAGCACTATTTGTTAAAGAGGCTATCTTTTCTCCTATGTAAGGTTTTGGCTCCTTTGTCAAAAATCAGATGACTGTAGTTGTGTGGGCTTATTTATGGTTCTTCTGTTCCATTACTTGTCTGTTTTTGTGCCAGTACCATTCTGTTTTTGTTACTATGGTTTTGCAGTATAGTTGAAGTCAGGTATTGTGATACCTTCAGCATTGCTCTTTTGCTGAAGATTGTTTCTATTCAGGGTCTTTTGTGTTTCTTTATGAATTTTAGGATTAAGTTTCCTACTTTTGTGAAGACTGACATTGGGATTTTAATAGGGATCACACTGATGCTATAGATTGTTTTTTAGCAATATAGCTATTTTAACAATATTTATTCTATTGATTCAATAATACAACTATGTCTTAATGTCTTCTTCAGTTTCTTTCTTCAATGTTTTATAGTTTTCATTGTAGAGGTCTTTAACTTTCTTTTTTTTTTTAGTATTGTATATCTGTGATGGTTGATCTTTTTTTTTATTGTTTTATTATTCATACAAGGCTTGGGTCATTTCTCCCCCCTGCCCCCACCCCCTCCCTTACCACCCACTCCACCCCCTCCCTCTTCCCCACACCCCCTCAATACCCAGCAGAAACTTTCTTAGTTAGGTTTGTTCCTAGGTATTTTATATGTTTTCAGGCTACTATGAGTGGGATTATTTTCCTGATTTCTTTCTCAACTTGTTCATTGTTGATATATAGAAAAGCTCCTGATTTTTATATATTGATTTTGTATCCTGCTAGCTTGCTGAAGGCATTAATCAGTTCTAAGAAGTTTTTTTTTTTTTTTTTGGTCAGAGTCTTTAGGGTCTTTTAAGCATAGGATCATATCATCTGCAAATATGGATAATCTGATTTGACTTCAACTTTTCCTACTTGTGCCTCCCGTATTTTTTCTCTTCATTTATTGCACTTGCGAGGAATTCAAGAATTATACTGAAAGACAGTAGAGAGTGGGCCCCATAGTCTCATTTCTGAATAGATAAATTGGACTTCGTCAAAATTTAAAACATTGAGAGTTGCCACCGGAGAGGAGTCAACTCCGCAGCAGCCGAAGCCAGAGAGGTCCGCCCACTCGTTCGCCGGGTCCCCCTGCCCAATTCACCATGCAGCCTGCTTCTGCAAAATGGTACGATCAAAGGGACTATGTCTTCATTGAATTTTGTGTTGAAGATAGTAAAGATGTTAATGTAAACTTTGAAAAGTCCAAACTAATTTTCAGTTGTCTTGGAGGAAGTGATAATTTTAAACATTTAAATGAAATTGATCTTTTTCACTGTATTGATCCAAATGATTCCAAGCATAAAAGAATGGACTGATCAATTTTATGTTGTTTACGAAAAGGAGAATCTGGCCAGTCATGGCCTAGGTTAACAAAAGAAAGGGCAAAGCTTAATTGGCTTAGTGTGGATTTCAATAATTGGAAAGACTGGGAAGGTGATTCAGATGAAGACATGTCTAATTTTGATCATTTCTCTGAGATGATGAACAACATGGGTGGTGATGAGGATGTAGATTTACCAGAAGTAGATGGAGCAGATGATGATTCACAAGACAGTGATGATGAAAAAATGCCAGATCTGGAGTAAGAAATATTGTCATCACCTGGATATTGAGAAAGAAAGATAACTTCTGCAAGATTTCATAATTGAGGAAATTCCTGAATTGATAGCTCTAAAGGCAAATGCTGCTTTTGCCTCCTATAACCCATTTTTCAACCTGTTTGGTTTTTTTTTTTAAAGGCTTCACTAAGGGTTGATAATGTACCATTGTATGGGGCAATTTTAAGTCAGCTAAGGCAACATCCTTATGCATGAACATATCCCAGACTTCATGAAGCTGTTGAGTCCTAGGCAATTGATACAGCAGTTGTGATAAAGATATTTCACTAAGTCTCCTTTACCATACATTAGTTACGACTTGTAGGAAGCTCGTCAGCCTTTAGAGAAGATAAAAACTAAATTGTTAGATCGAGAACACAGACTCAAAAAGTGGCTGAAACAACACTATTGGATTTTTTTTATTTCTTTTTTTGATTCAGCTTATAATTGCGCTGAAAAACCTCAATTTATATTCATGACAGTGGGGATTTTTTTTAATGTCTACATTCTTTCTAATAAACGGTTGGCAGATTTCAAAAAAAAAAATTAAAACATTAATGTGTCAAAGGACTTGATCAACAGAATGAAAAGGCATCTCACAGAACGGGAGAGAATATTTGGAAAACATCCATCTGGTAATGGATAAGATCTAGAGTGTGTGGTGTGTGTGTGTGTGTGTGTTCTACAACTGGCCAACAAAATTCAAGCAACTTAATTTAAAATGGGTCAAAGTTGTTAAACAGATGTTTCTCCAAAGATGTAGAGATATAGAGATGGTCAAATGGCTGTATGATGGCATTTGTCATAGACTGTTATTCTGCTTTAGGATATACACCCTAAAGAGTCAAAAGCAGGTTCTTCTTTTTGGTGGTACTGGGGTTTGGACTTTAAGCCTCACATTTGCTGGGCAGGACTCTATCACTTGAGCCTCTCTGCCAGTCCTGTTTTGTGTTGGAGATAGGTCTCAAGATAGGGTCTTGCAAACCATTTGCCTGGCTGGCTTCGAACCACGATCCTCCTGATTTTTCCCAAGTAGCTCAGATTACAGAAGTGAGCTGCTGGTGCCCAGTGAAAGCAGGGTCTTACAGCAATATTTGCACCCTCATGTTCATAGCAGCACTATTCACAACAGCCAGCAAGTGGAAGCAATGCAGTGTCCATCCACCAATAAATGGTTACACAAAATGTAGTGTTTGTATACAATGGGATATTATTCACCCTTGAAAAGGAATGGAATTCTGACACATGTTACACGAATGAACCATAAAGACATGCTAAGTGAAAAAAGCCAAACACAAAAGGAAAAATATTATATATTCTACTTATGTGAGGTACTTAGAGAAGTTGTATTTGTAGATACAGAAGGTAGAATGGTGGTTGCTAGGGGCAGAGGGAAGGGAGTCCATATTAAATGGGAACAGAGTTGCATTTTAGGGAGATGAGAAGTTCTGGAGATGGCAAGGGGTAGTGGTGCATGTCTACAGTTCCAGCACTTGACAGGCTGAGGTGGAAGGGTCACTTGAGCCCAAGAGTTCCTGTCCAGACTGGGCAACATAGAGAGACACTACCTCAAAAAAAAAGTTCTGGAGATGAACGCAATGTGCATATACATATTACTAACCTGTATACTTAAAATGTCAAAATGGGGCTG